ATTTGACCTTAAGCTTTGTCCCTGCATCCATTGGTCCATGTAGGTAATCCTTGAACCCTATTCCTTCTTTCAACATTCCGTACACTTCTAGACCCTCCTTATCCTTGGATTCTTTCCTTAGATTCTGTTCTTCTCTGTCGGCACAAGCAACAGATATCTTCTCCTTGAACCCCTGTAGACCCTCCGTTTCCAGCGTTTCATCTTCGTCGATGTCCAATCCCTTCCATACGTCCTCTACAACCTTGACCCATTCCGTGGGTTGTCTACCCCTCTTTTTCTTTGCCCACTTCGCCTCCCATACTATTCTCGGCAACCTCTCCTCTCCCATCCCGCACATGCGGTACTGCCATGTCAGCTTCCTTACGTCTCTTCCCGACCGTAGGGATTGGATCCCCAATTCTGCCCTGACTGCTGCATTACTTGTGCGCTTGGAGCATCCTAGGATGATTTTCGCTGCTTTCATCTGCGCCGCCTCGAGTTCTTTCACTACCTTCTTATTTCCTTCCCATACTTCTCCGGCGTACTCCAGCGGCGGTACGATTACGCTCTTCAAAACCGTCAATTTGATGCGTGTATCAAGGTGCCGGTTTGCGAGTATTGGGTGAAGCTTCCCTGCTCGTGCTTTGCCCTTTTCCGCTACCTTGGACATGTGTGCATTCCACGAGCAATCTTTTGCGATCTCTACTCCGAGGTATGTGTACTGGTCGACTACTGCAATCTCCTCGATCCCCCACTTCCATCTATGTTCTACTGGTTCCTCCCTGCCCTCGTTGCATACCATGACGGCACTCTTCGTAACGTTGGCAGACAATCTCCACATATCAGTAAACTTCTTCGCCGCGTCAATTTGCAGTTGCAGTCCCTCAGGGGTGTCCGACATACCAACAAAGTCATCCGCAAACAGCATTCCTGACACCGAAGTTTCCGTGTCCCCTACTTTTACTCCCTTCCGGACTGCCTCTACGACTTCCAACAGATCGTTGATGAACACCTGGAACAATGTTGGGGACAGCGTGCAACCTTGTGGGACCCCTTGCTCAATGTCGAAGAATTTAGACAGTTCTCCGTCTAGCATGACCGCGCTTTTCGTACACTCTGTCATCTTCTTCAGCACCCTCCACATTTTCCCCTTGATCCCGTACTTGGACAATTGTTTCCACAGCCCATTTCTCCATACGGTATCGTATGCCTTTTTCACGTCCAGGAAGAAGCAGTACGTCCGCTTGCCCGCCCTCTTTCTACCTTGGATGATTCTCCCTACCGTGAATGCGTGGTCTACGCACCCCCTCTTCTGTCGGAAACCTGCCTGGCCCTCACTAATGCTACGTTTCTTCTCCAATACTCCCACTATCCTATCGTTCAGCAGCTTACAGAACACTTTTCCTACTGTGTTCAACAGTGTGATACCCCTGTAGTTTCCTGGGTCAGTCTTGTCTCCTTTCTTAAACAAGTTCACAACCACTCCTTCCCTCCATCTACTTGGCGCATACTCGTTTTTCCACACCCAGTTGTACAGCAGTACCATCAGCTGGATCATCCCCTTGCCCCCAAACTTCATGAACTCGTTTACTATCCCATCCGCCCCTGCTGCTTTGTGGCACTGCAGCTTGTTCACACACGCCTCAACCTCGTCCTCAGTGAACTCCTTTTCTAGTTCTACGTTCCCAACGTCTGCCTTCGATGTCTCTTCTTCTTTCTGGGCCCATGCGTCCACCTCCTTCTTAAACACTTGGTCAAAATCTTCATTCTCCGAAGGCACTCCAAGTCTCTTGTAGTGTCCTGCTAGAACTTCCCTTTTTCCCTTCCCACTGCTGACTAGTCCACCGTTCACACCTCGCAATGTTGCTACCCCTGTATCCCCCCCTTGCGCGGTCTTTTTTACCATCCCACTAATCCCTTCCCACATCTGCTTGACGTTCCCCTCCAGGCCTCCGTTGGCCTTCTGCACTACTTCGTCCCAAATGCTGGGGGGGGGGGGGGGGCAGGTTATTTTGGTTTCCAAGTGCGGGTGCAATGGCGATCGCCCCCCAAAAACCCACCAATACCCCCAAAAAGGGGGAAAGGGAAATTAGGGAAATTAGGGTTAAGGCAAGGGATAATCAGTGGGGTGACCCCCGCAAAAACCAAACCTTGGCCCCTGCCCGTTTCCAAAACGCCCCGCCCGGAGTGTACACGAGGATGCGATGACTTCTGTTGGTTGCGTGGTTGTACACACAACG